CCCGCCCCCGCGCCCCCCCCGCCGCAGGCCGCACCTTGAGCTGGCCGAGCTGCAGGCGGGCGGCGCTCTCGCACACCACCAGCACGTTCTGCAGGTCCACCGAGGCCTCGATGTACTGCCGGCACAGCTGCTCCAGGCGGCACAGCTGGAAGCTCAGCGCCAGCTTGTACACGTCCATGATGAGCAGCACGTCCTCCACGTGGCCTGCGCCCAAGAGCCCATGAGCCTTGGGACCCGAGGAGGGGTCGGGGACAGGGCCTGGGGCTCCCTCCACAGCCCGAGTGGGCTGGAGGCACCCCTGCTGACAAGCCTCAGGGGGCCTCAGATGTCGGCTGGGGCACACACCAGCTGCTGGGATCACTGGGGAAGCAGCAGCCCATCCGTGAGCGGCATCCACTTCTCTGCCCTGGCCCACACCTGGCCCTGCGCCCTGGTCCCCTCTTCCCCTGCCCTGGTCCCCTCCATCCCGGGGGCAGACCTTTCCGTGGGTATTTGATCTTGTCGGTGTAGAGGAACTGCATGAGCACCTCGAAGGGCCGGGCCTCAGCCTCCCGGATGGCCACGTGCAGCAGCTGGGGCCGGCCTCCCACCGTGGCCGCACTGGGCGCCTCCCTGGGACCTGCGGCCACCTCGTCCTCCAGCTTCTGTGCAGAGAAGGGAGCTCGAGGGCGCCACGGGCAGGATGGGCTGCCCGATCGGGGTAGGCGAGGCGGGGTGGCACCTCACCTGGGCCAGGCGCTCCCGAGCCTGCACGATCTTCCTGCGGAGCCAGCGGCTCCGGGCAGTGACGATGGCCACGTGGCCCTGCACGCACTCCTCTTTCTGCACAGAACCAAGTATGGGTCGAGGGCACAGGCCCCAGTCCCCTGGGACGGAGCCCTGCAGAGGTGCCTCTGAGGGGCAGTGCCAACGCACAGACACAGTAAATGGGCCCGGCACTAGGAATGGCACCCACCTCGCCCAGCACGAACTCCACGTCACAGAACTGGCGGCTCTCCCACAGCCGCCCGTAGTCTTCATGCAGCGTGCACTTGGGGTAACAGGAGAACTGCAGGAGGGGACCCGGGTGTTGCCAGAGGTCGAGGCCCAGTGTGGCCCTGCAGTCTACTCTGGGGCCACCACCTGGCCATGCTGACCCTCCGGGGCCCAGCAGCATGCATATGTGAGGGGAGGAAGCCACCCCTCCCCACCCTGCAGGGCTGCCTACTCTGGCCTCGTCTGCAGCTGTCCACCAGTCCACAGGAGGGGCTCTCTGTGCCTGGACCGTGTACTCCGGCTGGCCCCACAGCATACCCCGTTTCCTCCAGGAAGTTGTCCCTGACTCCACAGACCCCATGGGGCCCCAGCCTGCTCCTCTAGGCTGTGGCTGTAGGTGCCCGTGAGGCCCCAGCACCAAGCCCAGCTTGCCGGGCTTCCTCCTCTTTTGTGAGTGCCCCATGCCACACCGCCCTGCTCTCCCACGGGCAGCCTGAGCACCCTCCCTGCTAGTGTCACTGCACCCTGCCCTGCATCTAGCCCCCAACCCCGCCGCCAGACTTCTCAGAAGGCCCCCATCCTACCAGGCTCGGCCTGGAAAAAGGCCCCTGGGATAAGCCCGCCCCACCCACCGGGCCTGTTTCCTAAGACTGGGGTGTCCGCCCCGCAGGCCCACGAGCCCCTCACCTGGAACCTGTACATCTCCCCGCTGCGGATGTTGTTGTCCACAGTGCCCCCGAAGATGTACATGGCGTCTGAGATGACCGCAGCCGCGTGGAAGAGCCTCCCGCTGGGCAGCTGGGAGAGGGGTGAGTCAGCCGCAGGCTGAGGGGCCAGGCCGTGGGCACAGACATGGCGCCACATGGCCACGACAGGGCGAGAGCGTGATCCTGAGGGGAGGGGCCCCAGTGCCACTGCAGGCACAGGTGGGAGCAGGGCCACATGGACCCACGGGTAGACCCAGAACTCAGCCCAGGCCCAGCCCGGCCAGCAGGGCGTGGGCTCCTGGCCCTGCACCCCATCGGCCGTGTGTAACCCTGACTTCCACATCTGTGAGAGGGCTGGTCACAGGAGCTGACGCAGGGGCTGCTGGGGCTGAATGAGGGTGCCCTACCTCGGACGCTGGCTGCACGGGCTGCTTGGCTGAGGTGCTGCCAAAGTCCAGGCCAAACACGTCCCGGGACTTCTTGAAGCCACCTCGCTCCTCAGCAGTCAGGGTGGGCGCCTCCTCGGAAGCAGACGCTCGCTCAGGCACTTCAGCCCCACCGACCTGTGGGGAGGCACGCAGGCATGTGACCAGCCGGGTGGGACAAGCTGTCCCGAAATGGGTCATCCCTGCCTGAGAGCACTGTGGGTGTGGACAGAAGGGCCACAGGAGGGCGCTGTGGGGAAAGGTCTGCAGCCGGGCATGGTGGGATGGGGAAGCGGAAAACCGCAGGCTGCAGGGAGCAGACTAGCAGACCACAGGCTGGTGACCTGGGCTGACGGCCCTGGGTGACCTAGCCTTGCTCCTGGTGGGTATAGGGAGCCCCCTGAGAGTAAGGGGCCAAGGAGGAAGGGGAAGCACACTGGGACCCTTTGGAGTCTAGTTGCTGGGCCAGGGCCGGGGCGTCCCCACTCTGGCACCCCTAAGGTCGGCAGCACTCACCTCGCTGTCGGAGCTGGGCTGGACGACCTCCCAGGTCTGGAAGTCCACGTCGTAGCAGTGCAGCTCATTGGGCAGCGTGTTGTCAGCAGCACCCCCGAACACATAGAGGTGGCGGTCAAAGGCCACCATGGTGTGTCCATAGCGTCTCTGTGGGGGTGGCGGGGAGCCCCGGAGCAGGTGCTCAGTGGGGATGCGTGTCCACCTGGGGTAGAGCATAGTGAGCCAGTGCTGGGGTGGGGGCTTCTGCTCCCCAGAGGCCTCCCCACAGCAGGCCTCACTGGGAAGCGCCCCCGTAGTGTGAGGTCACCAGCCCAGGACCCAGAATCCCTTGCCCTGTTTTGCCCGGGTACAGGCTCTGGGCAGCCCACTGCGGGCTCCTGCCTGAGTGCCCTCCCTTTCCCACCCCAGGGAGCAGCAAGACAGCATCTGAGCTGCTGGGCAGTCCTGCTGTCTGGAGAGCAGTCACACAGACTCACTCTGGTGTGACCGTCCCTGTCAAACGACCCCTATCTAGGAGCCGCCCAGACCCCACATCCTGCTGCTCCAACACTCCGCCCTCCAAGGGCTTCCCGGCACCTCCCAGCAATCCCGTCTTGCTTGGAAGAAGCTGGACAGGTCCCAGACATCACAATCGACGGGGCTCCTGCTGCCAGGGACACCTGGTCTTCCCCCTGCCCACCCTGGCCTCCAGGGCAGCTCTAAAGTCCCGTCCCAGCCCCGCAACTGCAGATGAAACTCCTGCTTCTGCTCCCTCACGGTCCCCAGCCCATCACAGGGCCAAGCACTCAGGCCCGGGTACCCCACACCTTCTGCCATCATATGAGGTCTATGCTGGTCACACGCTGTTGGTGACCCTGACCCAGACACACACATTC